TATATATGATTTTTTTTTTTCAATTTTGAGAGTAAATTAAAATAAAAATAAAAAATGTGTTCCCTCCTATTTTTAATAAATGTCGTTTTCAGAAGTTGCACAATAATTAAGATTTTTTTTGTTAATTATAACTCTCATTAATGAGGATAGAGATGAATGTTTTGAAAAAAAAAATAAAGAATGAATATGAAAAAACGTGATGTATTTATTAGTTAGATGAGAGTAATAATGAAAAAATATGTACAAAAGATTCAAAACGATATTTATTTAGCTAATTGTTGATAAAACTAAAATGACATTTAAAAAAATAGGAGGAAGTAGTTATTATGAAGGAAAAAAAAAAAAGATGATAGTCAAGTTATATTGGCAAATTTATAAGCATATATTATTATGTGTATAAGCATGATTTAAAAAGGGAGGGGGTTTGAGCGGAGCTGGTGGGCTATTTCGCGATGACCTTGGGCGATGGGTAGAGGGTTTTCTCATGAACATTGGGTTTAATACCATAACAGGCGCTGAACTTTGGGGGCTTTTCCAAGGGTTACATAGGGCCTGGGAGCTAGGCTTTCGCCAAGTTATCGCGGAAGTTGATAGCCAATGCGTAGTTCAGATGGTCCATGGCTCCGGTCAGCATTTTGGGGTCCACGATTCTATTATTCGGGCTATTAGGGATTTGGTTGCGAGGGACTGGCACATTCGCATCCAACATGTGCATCGAGAGGCTAACTATGCGGCAGATCATTTGGCGGGGCTCGCTTCCTCATCTCCGTTAGGTTTTACCAGATTATCGGCCCACCCCCCGAGCTTGGGAGCTTGGCTCGATCATGATGGTCGCGGGGTATCTCATCCACGACGTGTTTTAGTTTCGAGCGCTTAGGCCTTTGGCCTCCCTCTTTTGTACCAAAAAAAAAAAAACACACATTTGTGGCTAGTTAAAGAGAGAAATTATACCTTATATTTCAGAACAAGAACATTTCCATAATGTATTTTATTCAGATATCATGCTTGAAGTGATAAAATTAATTTAGTAAAAAATGAGGAAAACAGGTGCGGTCCCACGCACATGAAGCGCATAATAACAAGGTGAGCCCAAAGGGAGTTCAAGTGAGCTCTCATCTCAAAACCAATTGGTAGTAGGAGTAAAAGATGTTCTACAACTCCCAAGTGGTGTTATATTCTAATACGCCCCGTCATTTGTGAGTACTTCGTACGAAACCCAGGTCGGATAACGGGTACATCATCACACGGTTCCACGTAGAACCAACTCTGAAGTCCAGGCCGGGTAACGGGTACGCCATCGCACGGTCCACGTAGAACCGACTCTGATACCCTGTAAGAAACGAGGAAAACAGGTTCGGTCCCACGTACGTGGAGCACACCATAGCAGGGTGAACCCAGATGTGCCACAGTGATGTTCTATTCCAAAACCAATTGGTAGTAGGAGAAGTAGCTCACTAAGCTTATAAGTTAGGCCTATCATTCATGTATAAACAATGTGAGACAACTCTCAAGTGGTATTATATTCTAACAAGTGTCATAATAATTTTGTTTTCCTAGAGTTTTATTAAATTAAATTTACTTCTATATTTTGCTTGAACAAAGAAACATTACACTTAGGCATGCTTGGATACAAATATATCTGCTAAAAACGAGTATTTTTGGTTAATCAGTGTTAATTTAAAAAAATGGAGTATGGTTAGTTGTAGTGGGATTTTTGAACGTTAAAGTTGATTTGACATAAAATTCCTATATATTAATGTGAAGTGATGATTCGCTAAAATTATGTGAATGTGGATAGTAAAATAAAGTTAGTGTATTGTGTAAGAATAATTTATTGATATTATTTAACTATATTGATAATATTGAGGATAGTAACATTCGGTTAAAGGGAGTTAGATTTTAAATGTAAGTTGAATACGAATTGATTAAAATTACAACAATAAGACCTTTATGATTGGATATACAATTTTTTGGTTTTGTTTGGATTTTTTTGATTTGGTTTGGTTAATTTTTAAAAAGGTGATATGGTTAGTTGTTAGGGAGTATATTAAAATAATATTTAGAATAAAATAATAAAAGTTGATTTGATGTAAAAAAACAAGAGAGAGAAGTTGAAGTGATGGTAGTTAAAATTATGTAAGAGGATGAATAGTGAATTAAAGATGATGTGTTGTGTAAGAATGATTGATTGAAATTATTTAATTATAATAAAATATTGATGATAGTGGGGTTGAGTTAAAGTTGAGTTAAAAAAATGGTTGAGTTAAAAATGATTGAATTTTTTTAAGATTGTTTTATAAGCATGATTGGATATAATTTTTTTTTTTTTTTTTTTTTTTTT